AGGTTCCTGATCCTCGCCTTCCCTTCCTTGGTGTGCACTTTACTCCAAGAATGAATGGAGATGTTTGGATGGGTCCAAACGCTGTACTTGCTTTTAAACGAGAAGGATATGGCTATTTTTCAATTTCACCTTCGGAATTGTACGAAGCGCTGATGTACAAGTAAGCTTTCTGATCGCAAGCAAAACTTTTTGTGTAGAGATTACGATGAAGTACTGGAAGAAAGGAAAATAGGGGTTTGGAGAGGGATGAAAGAATTTGTAAGAAGTTTGGTTTAGCTAACAGATTAGAAATGTAAACTTTAAATAGAATTTTTTGTGCAGATTTTTGATGTCACTTTTCTATCAGAGGCATGCGAAAGCTGATGAGAAAGCATTTCGTTTTTGGTGCGAAAGAAATGTATCGTGGGATATTTATTGGCGCTCAAGTCAAGCAGTTACAACGTTTCATACCTGATTTGCGACGAAGTGATGCGGCAAGGTGAAATCTTATCCTTTTTTAGTAGAAGAGCAGTAAGAGCAAGTCAGCCATTTAGGGGTCCTACCGGTGTTCGAGCTCAGGCAATGGATGAGGACGGCAATTTAGTCGATGATTTTGTTTTTGATAGCGGCACTGGACCGGTATGCCGACGTTCATTGCAAAGTTTCCCAATTTCATTTATTTCCCTCTTTATTCAGTTGTCAAAACGAGTGCTGCACGTCCGCAATGCACCATCACCCGGTGCCACATCAAGCTTGGCCATTGCTAAAATGATAGCTAAGGAAGTTCAAACTCGATTTTCTCTGTAATTTGCGAAACGATACTTATTAACATTCCACAAAATAATGACTATCTTGACTAAGACTGTTGATGAATTTGCCATTAGCTATATTTGCTATAGAAAGATTTCAGTGAATGTTTTACTGCCATCCATATCGACTTGTAACCTCTTCACTTGGCCAATAATTACTGATTTTATTAGATGAATTTCTACGAACAAGATTGTATAGATGTACATATAAACAACTGGTACAGAGAATAAAATGTCAATGTTTAGTTATCTCAGCCTCTTAATTTTCGTTTTGTCTGCATGTAATGTATGCTGTTCTAGAGGGGAGTAACTCACAATAACTGAGTAGAGCACAATCTGCTCAGAACTACAGAATTGTAGCTATTCCTGCAATCCAAAGAATTTCACGTGGAGATATACTATCAGAAAGTCCTAAGTTTTGAGAACATCTTTTCATGTCTTCAAGAGAGTGGAAACTTTTTAAAATCCATGATTTACGGATTTAAAAGCTGAATGACTCAAACTTAAACAGATTGTCACAACATTATTTATT